TTCTAGCTTTTAGAGTCTCCATTGAGAAATCAAGTGTAATTCGAAGAGGTCTGCCTTTATATGTTACTTGACCTTTTCCCATTGCAGCTTTTAATATTCTTTCTTTGTTCTGTATGTTTAGTGTTTTGATATTATGTGGCAAGGGGACTTTCTTTTCTGGTGCAATCTATTTGGTGTTCTGTATGCTTCCTATATCTTTGTAGGCATCTCCTTCTTTAGGTTAGAAAATTTTTCTTCTATGATTTTGCTGAAAACATTTTCTGGGCCTTTGAGTTGAGTTTCTTCTCCTTCCTCTATACCTATTATTCTTGGGTTTAGTCTTTTCATAGTGTCCCATATTTCTTAGATGTTTTGTATCAGGAGTTTTTTTAGATTTAGCATTTTATTTGACAGATGTATCCATTTCTTCTTTCGTATCTTCAATCTTCAATGCCTGAGATTCTCTCTTCCATCTCTTACATTATGTTGGTGAAACTTGCCTCTGTAGTTCCTGTTCCAATTCCTAAATTTTCATTTCCAGAATTAATTCAGTTTGAGTTTTCTTTATTGATTCTATTCCCAATTTTAGGTCTTTAATAGTTTTATTCATTTCCTTCCACTGTTTGTGTTTTCCTGGATTTCTTTAAGGAATTTATTCATTTCTTCCTTAAGGACCTTTATCATAGTCAAAAAAGCTGTTTTAAGGTCTTTTTCTTGTGTGTCAGTTATGTTGGAATATTTAGGTCCTACTGTGTTAATATAGTTGGACTTTAGTAGAGACACATTGCTCTGGCTATTGCTGATTGTGTTTTTAAGCTGGCATCTAGGTATCTGAATTTGGAATGATTATAAGTCTAGGTGCTGATTTCTAGATTTGCCATTGTTGGGTGTGTGTTTTGTTCCTTGGCTTCTATTTCCTCTCTGCATTTCCAGAGTGTGTAATGGCTATGTATTGCCTAATTTCCTGGTCTGCTTAGCTGGTGTATTCACAGCGAAGATCTTCTGGTATTGGAGGCTGGGACACTGGGATGAGTTGAGGGAAGGAAGGCTGGAGGAGAATGTCATTGTGATCTGTTGGGGATGGGATCAGAGATGAAAGGGAGACCATAGCAGGATTCCAGCTGTAGAGCTGGGATGAGACTGGGATATTCGATCTCAGGAGCAGTAGAAGAGGTGTGGGCTTGCCTTCAGCCTACTTCCTGCCCTGGGAGGAGCAACCTTTGGTCAGCAGTGGGTAACTCCTTAGGCTGGGGTCTGAGACAAAGCAGCAAGTAGGAAGAGGCAGGTTAGAAGGGGAAGGAAGATCGAGCTATTGTAAATAGGGCAGGAATGAAATCCAACTCCTTGGCATATGCCCCCAAACCTGCTATCCTACTCCAGAGACACTTGTAATTATTTTTTTGTATCAAGCTCTAACTATAAACCCTGGGTTGGCCTGGAACATGTGACAATCCTTCCACCTCTGTCCTCGTGTGTTGTTTGCAAGCAAATGTTGGGATTACAGCATGTGCCACCTCTGTTCCTCATCCCACCTTTTCCTTCTGTATTTACTTTCCTTCCTCCTTCCCAGCTGAACTGTCAATTTATAACGATTTATTTAAAATATTATTTCTATGTATTCTCCAGGAATTTTGGGGGATGTAAATAATGTATTTTGACCATATCCACCTCCAATGTCCTTCTAACTGCCCCTAAACCCTCCAAAACATTTCACTCCCAACTTCGTGTCCTTAATTTTTTTTTATAAACCTGAGTTCAATCAATGCTGCCCATGGGTGCATTGGTCTGGGACATCTATTAGATCATTGGCAACTGGCCAGTCACCATACTTCCAAAAAAAAAAAAACCCAGAAAAAAAAAAAAACTTTGATTCTCCCTGTCTACTTCCCAGCACTCAGCAAGTGCTTGGTAGCTCCTGGGCCTTATGAGTTGTCCTGAGTTCATGCTGCCATTTTATGGAGGGCTCCAATGCATGTAACCACAGTTGCTGTGAGTTAATGATACTATACTTCCAATACAAGAATTTTCATTTGTTTTCCTTCCCAGACTCAATGTTATTACAAACTTCCCTTTTACATTTATTTTTAATCTCATAAATACTGTGGTTCACAGTTCAGTGTTTATTTAATATATTTAATGTGAAGCTAACTTTTCATTATCGTGACCAAAAAATCCTTAGGAAATCAATTTAAAAGAGGAAAAACTCACTTTTAATCTTAGTTTCAAAGGATGCAATGTGTGATCAGTGGTCCCACTATTTTGGGTGTGTTCTGAGGCTCAAACATTGGGGTGAGAGCACAGAGCAGAGCAAAAGTATTCTTCTTATATGGTTGAGAAAGAAAGAGGGAGATGGAGAAAGAGGAGCAACAGAGGGAGAGAGGAGAGATATAGAAGGATACACCCTGCAGTGGTATGCCCCCAGTGGCCTAAATCTTTCCAACAGGCTGCACCTCTAAAGAACCTATCACCTTTAGATAGCACAAGAATCGACCACCTTTGGATAGCACTATCACAGGCTGTACTTCTAAAGAACCTATCACCTTTAGATAGCACAAGAATCTACCACCTTTGGATAGCACTATCACAGGCTGTACTTCTAAAGAACCTATCACCTTTAGATAGCACAAGAATCTACCACCTTTGGATAGCACTATCACAGGCTGTACTTCTAAAGAACCTATCACCTTTAGATAGCACAAGAATCTACCACCTTTGGATAGCACTGTCAGCTGAGGACCAAATTTTCATTTAACACATGGGTTTTTAGCAGCCATTTAAGATCCAAATCACAACAGCTTACAAGAAAACATGGTCTACTTATCTATGCAGTAGTCTTGGTCTTGCCTGTGCTCTAACAATTTGCCTGGAGAATTTCCCTGAATATTTCTTGTAGTGTGGATCTGCTGAGGAGAAATTCCCTTAGTTTTTTTTTTTTTTTTTTGGTTTTTCGAGACAGGGTTTCTCTGTGTAGCTTTGCGCCTGTCCTGGAACTCACTTGGTAGCCCAGGCTGGCCTCGAACTCACAGAGATCCGCCTGGCTCTGCCTCCCGAGTGCTGGGATTAAAGGCGTGCGCCACCACCGCCCGGCTCCCTTAGTTTTTATACGTGTTATAGTTCCATCTTATGAACACCATGAACAAATCTCATATGTATATTATATTCTTTGTTTTTTCTTAGTTTTTCCAAATATATTTTTATTGATTATAAAATCCGGAGGTTATTTTTTGGTGTACTTTATTATTTTAAACATGTAACTTCAGTCTCTCCTAGATTGACTGTTTTCTGATACATCCATTCTTATCCTTATATTAGCTATTTTGTGCCTAACATGTTTTGTTTCCTTTGGCTATATTAAGGTTTTGTTTTTATTATTGATTGGGTAATTTATTATGCTTTTACTGTAAGTATAAATTTCTTATTTTTGGATTTCATTGATCCTCTTTGTCATGTGAGCAAATTATTTTAATCTTGTTCAGAATTTCTTACAGGTATTAATTCTTCAAGTATTTTTTCTCCCTTCCTTTGGGGACTCCCATTACATGTCAATTATGATACTCAACATTATTTCATTTAGAGATGCTCTATTCATTTAAATATTTGTTTGTATGTCCTTTTTTGGTATTTTTCTTACTACCTTAAAGTTCACCAATTTTTCCTTATTTACTAGCTGCCATGAATACATCCCAGTATATTTGTATCTCAGCCATTGCAGTTTTAGCTTAGCAGCCTAAGCCTAAGCCTCCCCAGCACTTGGATTATAGGCATTGGCCATCATATTCATGTCTTGAAATGAGAGATTACACTACTTTATTTAGATAGGCATTGTCTAGACATAATTCTCTCTCTGTCTTTCTCTCTATCTCTATCTCTCTGTCTCTGTTTCTCTCTTTCTCTATCTCTCTGTCTCTGTTTCTCTCTTTCTCTATCTCTCTGTCTCTGTTTCTCTCTCTCTCTCTCTCTCTCTCTCTCTCTCTCTCTCTCTCTCTCTCTCTCTCTCTCCCTCATCTGTTTCTCTTCGTTTTCATGCTCTCTGTGTGTATCTTCCTGTCTAAGTGAATGAATCAGAGTGATAGAGCTGGACACCTTACGTACCCCTCTGGTGCTTACCCACATATAGATGCATATACTATGTAATACATTATATAATTCACACAGCAGTATCTTTGCTAAAAAAGAAATGATAGCCTCATTTAAAAGACTATGCTCACATTGTGGTCTCTTTTAACTTCCTCATTATATATTTGTGTGTTTCATTTCTGCTATAAGATCAGCATCTATTGGAAGATGTCTAATACTTAGCCATGGCCATATCTAGAAGAGAAATATCATAGATAACTGTGCATAAAAGGACAAATGAGGCATTGTATATCACCTTCCACTTTTATCTGGAGAGGTTTATAGACCATTCAATAACAACTGATGAAAAAAGAAGCCACGGATTTGAAGGAGAGTGGGGAGGGGTATATAGGAGGGTTTGGAGGAATGAAAGGGAAGGGAAAGATGTTGTAATTAAACCATGGTCACAAAAATAAACAACAAAAACAAATTTGGTTAGTAATGAATCTTAAGACAGTTAAAAACCTGGCTGATCAAGTCACTGGCTTTCTGTCCTGCACATTGATCAGCCAGTCTTGATCTCAAAGGCTGTTTCTTGAGTAGCCAGACATCAGTCACTAACATCACACAGGACCAAAAGCACTGACTTTTGTCTGTGTCACTGTGGCTCATCTTCTTGTTAGAAGAGCTCTATTGTTGGGTCATGGTGTCATGCAACACCAAACATTGCTTACTGAACTGGAGTAACATTCAGTGTTCAAGATGATGATTTTTCAACCTGGGCTTCAATTTTCAACGTATGAAAGCAGATATTTGGGGAAATTTTCCAGAGACATAAATAGTTGAAACACAAGATACTGGTGATGATCCTTGAACCCTAAACACTTGCATTTCGGAGTCTGTTGTGCTACCTTATATTGCCAAGTCCTTCTAAGAATTCCTTTCTTACTCCTTGTGCTTTTTAGGTCATACTATCCCAGCATGGGCATGAGCAGCCTGAAATTGTTGAAATATGTCCTATTTATCTTTAACCTGCTCTTTTGGGTAAGTATCTCCTTTGAACATATCTCAAATAACACCCCTTCATCCCAGCTAACCTGTCCTTTCTTCTCAACCAAAGAATAGAGTATAGAATGTGAATTGTGCACACCTTGGTACTGTTCAGAACATTTCATGTAGGTACAAAGAAGTAATAATTTCCTCACCTCCTGCCGTTTTATCATACTATAAGCCTACAAAATTAAAAGGTATCAGTGCAGTTAATAATGGAGGTGCCAATTCTCTTTGCGGGCTCTTGGGTAGCATTGCAAATTGCTGGCGTTTATAAGTGAAAAACGGGCTACAATTTGGGTGTTAAATCTACACTCTCCTCATCCCTGACGCCATGGAAGAATATTGACAGACAGAGAAATCATACAGAAGTTCTATTTTTTTTAATTTTTAAAAAGAACCTCCGTGATGATTTCTGCAGTATCTAGGCTAATTTGTACTCTCACCAATAGTGTGAAAGGGCTTCTTTTTTCTGTCATCCTGGTCAGCATTTGTTGTTGATAGTTTTCTTTATGACAACCATTCTGATGGGATGAAATGGAATCTCCATATAAGATTTGATAGCTAAAGATATTGAACACCTTTTAAATATATTTATTTATTGGCACTTCATTTTTTTAAAAAAAACTGTCTGACTATTTCCATTGTTCATTTGTTGACTGGATTTTTTTTTGTTCTCTTTTTCTTCAAGTTTTAGACTTCCATATAATCTAGCCACGTTACTCCTCAGATTGTCTCCAAAAGAATCATAATCACCTTTCTACAAAGATACTTGAATATCTGTGCTTTTCGCAGGATCATTCACAATAGCTAAATTGTTGATGCAGACTAGACATCCATCAACAGAGGATAAAGGATATGTGGTGTATCTACACAATAGAGCTTGACTTAACCATAGAGAAGGATGAAATAGATGGAATTTGAGGTTACTTTGAGTGAAGTAAGTCAGTACCACATAGAAAAGGATTGCATCTTTTCCTTCATATTTGGAAGCTAAGAAAAAAAAAGAAATGCATTTAACTAAAAAGGGACTAGTGGGAAGGAGGAAAATGCAAAAGAAAAAACATATAATAAGTATTAATAGAGCAGTGAATATTATCAAACTACACTGTATGCTTGATATGTAGAAATATAACAATAAAATATTTTGTATAATATGGATTAATAAAAACAAAGTTTCAGACATGTATGTCCATGTTTGGTAATTTAACATGAAAAAAGAGATATCCAATGAGCTTTCACTATATTAAATTCAGCAGATGCATTTCATATATAAGATGAATCAGTACTCATATGTTTATGAGAATATTCCTATAAATTTGACTTCTCTTGTAGTCTGCCTATCAAGACAACCTTCCTCAAACAGAGCATCGTCTCTATGTGGTCGTAATCTCCTAAGAAAAGGCCATGAATGGACAACTGAGCAGACAAGAGATAGAACATCTGAAGTATAAAGTCAGACTTATATATAGTGAAGGTATTAGGTCCTTCATAAGGATGACATTTCCTTGGTATTTGGATATGTGTAATAAGAGATATAAGTGTGACTCCAAATGCAGAAGCTGGTATTTCCTTTCTATGTGATAGTGTAGAAACTGAGTAAAGAGGTGAGTCTCGAGTGAGTCAACAAAAACATGATTCTGATCTCCAGGATGTGAGAATATAAATTAGGAGATACTTAAGAATTATGTTCACCTTAGAATGCTATGGAATTCTTCCTCTTAGGTCTGTGGCTGTTGCATTTTGGGCTTTGGTATCTACCTCCTGGTCCAAAACACCTATGGAGTGCTCTTCCGTAACCTTCCCTTCCTGACACTGGGCAATGTTCTCGTCATCGTGGGCTCCATTATCATGGTAGTTGCCTTCTTGGGCTGCATGGGCTCAATCAAGGAAAACAAGTGCCTGCTTATGTCGGTGAGTCCTTGCAGCAGCTCTGATAGTCTGAGCTGGGGTAGATGATGTCTCAAGTCCAGGGTGATACATTTCATGTTAGATTACTTTTGGATGACATATACAATTAAAGAGCAGAGAGGGATAGGAAGGCCGTGGTGGTACTCGCCTTTAGTCCCAGCACTCGAGAGGCAGAGGCACAGGGATCTCTGAGTTTGAGGCCCCCCTGGTTTACAGAGTAAGTTCCAGGACAGCCAGGGCTACACAAAGAAACCCTGTCTTAGAAAAAAAGAGCAAAGAGGGAATAAACACAAGGCTTTTTCTTACTTGCTTACTGTTTTTCTTCGTTCTTTTATAAGCCAGATGACAGTCTATGGAATAGTACACCCACAGTAAGTTGGACCCTCCCATACAGTCAACACAAACACAACCCCTGACAGACATCCCCACAGGCCAACCTGACCTAGATAATAACCTCAATTAAAGTTCTTTTCCCAGTTGATTCTAGGTTGTGTCAAGTTTACAATAAAAACTAACCAACACAGTCCATTGTTTGTCAATTATATTTATCTATCTATCTATCTATCTATCTATCTATCTATCTATCTATCTGTATATATATATATATATATATATATATATATATATATATATATATCACTTTGAGCCATAATTTTCTATCCTTTGTACCATATGTCTCATGTAAATACCAGAATATAAAACACAGTCCAATTCCAGAAATCCCCTAAAGCCTTACAAAATTTCTAAGACTTCAAAGTCCAAGGTCTTTTAACTGTGAGCATCTGTAAAATAAAAAGACGTTACATCTGTAAAAATTGTTATTCTGAAATAGAATAAACAGGACATAAAAACAACCATGCTAAAACAACAACAAAAACGAGAAGCAGGTTGTATTTAGGAATATATCAATAATTAATGAAAAAAGGATAGGAATTTGAAAAAGAGCAAGAAGAAGTATATGGGAGAGTTTGGAGGAAGGAAATAAAAGGGGGAAATGATGTAATCATAATTTCAAAAAAGCAAAAGAAATAATTTTTAAAAAATCAGCAGTATATAGACCAAATCTTGTAGCTCTAATGTCTAGTTGATGAGTCTTGTATTCTGGGCTCCAAACAACGTTGGTAGGCCCACCCCCTCCAATTATGTTGCTTGTAGCACATACAGATTTTTTTGTTGGGAGTAGGCCAGTTCCACGTAGGTCTCCTTTGTGAATGTCCTATGGCCATAGCATTTTCAATGTCCTGGGGTCTCCATTATAACTGAGCCATCACATTCACTAGTGGCCTCTCTGCAGATGATCTGACCCTGCCACAGAGTTCCAATACTCAGTTGCTCTCCATGACCACTAGTACCACATGGATGGCTGTTACATTTTCAGATTCTGCTGCAAGTTTATTGAGGAATTGCCAGTTTATTCTAGGTTGTCAAGTTGATAATTAAAGCTAACCATCATAGCATCTCTTATAAGCCAAGATTTTATACACCAATATTAGTTTGCTTCTCACTGGGATCCCCAAGGATATGTAGAAGATGTGACTATTATCTGTGGTATCCATTTTAAACTGCAATAATGGCCCTTGTCACTGTCATGTCCCACAGCATTATACTTTTCCTCCATGTCTGCTTGAAATTAGTTATCAACTTTCTGCCTAAATCCTTATATAAGAACATGCTTCAAGATCTGACACACAGTAATTAACTGATGAAAAAATAATCAGTAGGTTCTTCTGAACATAGCAACCCTCCCCAATGATGTAGAATTCTTCCTTAATTCATGCACAAAGCAGCCTTTATAGGAGGAGTGACACAATTAGGTAAGGACCTTGGCTGAAGTTCTTGACTACTAGAAATGGAAGAGATTTTCAGGAGTTGCCTGTGAAATAACCAGCCTGAGGAGTACTGTCAGGCTTAGACTTTGCCTAATAAAATTGGAGTAGAAGAGATACAATTTTCCTTGTATATTAAGGACAGAGATTGGTATAACAATGCTTCCATTCTTAAGCCAGGCAGTGGTGGCACACGCCTTTAATCCCAGCACTCAGGAGGCAGAGCTAGGCGGATCTCTATGAGTTCAAGGCCAGCCTGGGCTACAGAGCAAGATCTAGGACAGGCACCAAAACTATACAGAGAAACCCTGTCTCAAAAAAAAAAAAAAGATCATAAAACAATGCTTCCATTCTTATGTGTTACCATCTCAGTTATCCCTTAAGTCATGTGATCAATATTCTCTTGCAGATCAACATTTAAACTAGAGCCAAGATCAATAATAACAGTAATAATAATAATAATTTAAAAATAAGTGTTATCAAGCAGTTCTCAGACAGATAGAAAATGACAGGAAACATCAGAGACAGGACAAATGATTTAAGTAGTCAAAATTGGTGTGTAAGTTTTTTTAAGGTGAAGAACAAATGAAATTGTGAAAGTTTTTTTTTTGTATAAATGTCATGCAGGGATTAAAATTCTAAATTTGGAGATAAAATTGACTTATAACTATGATTAGGCTCCCTCTTCCTCTGTACAGATGTCCTTTCAAGGTTCACCATCATCCACCCTCTTTCTTGAACTAGACTTGATCTGATATATGGGACCAGGACCCAAACTCATGTTTGAATTGCCTGGCTTTTTGAGCAGCTGTTTCATTAGGCTGATGCTAAAAAATTGATTCAACAATGTTAGAACAAAGTTAGAGGGTGGTTAATATGCCTTCTAGAGTCCAGATGTAGGAAAGGAACACATACTATTCATAAAACAAGAGAAGGTTTAGGAAGCCCCAAGCAGGCAGGAACAGTTTCCATGCATGATTTTGTGTGTGTGTGTGTGTGTGTGTGTGTGTGTGTGTGTGTGTGTGTGTGTGTGTGTGTGTATGCACACATGTGTAGATCTGTTTGCTCTTGAGGCAGAGAGAGGTAAATCAGAAACTAGAGTCAATGTTCTGATAATGTCTCTGGTTTGTCACAGTTCTTTGTTCTGCTGATGATTATTCTCCTTGCTGAGGTGACCTTAGCCATCCTGCTCTTTGTGTATGAACAAAAGGTAAGTTATGAAGAACATGGCTTGATCTCTTATTGCTGAGATGTGGAATATACTGCAGAGAAGTTAGTAAAGCAAAATTAGTAGTAAGTCATACAAATGAAGTAGGAGGATGAGAGATTAATTGCAGTTGAGAAGAGAAAAAATGTCATGAAGATTGTATTTGAATGATACCTTGAAAGATAACTGGAGAGAAAATGAAGCAAGCCTGTCTTCCTCCTGCCTACCTCTCTCTATGAAGCTGGTAGTCTTCTCAGTAATGTTTGACCTTGGCTTTGGTTGTACCTTCCTTTGTAACTATAGTTTTGGAAGTATAAAAGTCACTATGAATATATTCCTTCAAAACCATATAAACCTTCAGCTTGTCTTCCCACATAACCTCCCTCATCTCACTTCCCTAGTTCTGACTCCTTGGGTGGGGGGATATATTTGCTCCACTAGAAATCTCTTATTTCTTGAATCCATCTTTTTTTGACTATGTCTTCCCTGGTGGACTATGATTTACCCCAGCTGAACAAGTATGTGGCTGAGGGCCTGAATGACAGCATTCAACATTATCACTCAGACAACAACACCATGGCGGCATGGGACTTCATCCAGTCACATGTAAGTATGTAAAAAGTCCTGCTCAGGTGTGTGAGACTGAATTCCCAGCATTAGTCCCTAGAAACCGGTGTCTCTTTCCTAAAGGTTTCAGGCTCAAAGATCTTTAGTTCTAAAGTCCAAAGGAGCATCTGTCCTCTCACAGGCAGTGGAGTATAGGGATTAATCCAACTGGTACAAATTTTCTACATTCTATTTCATTCTTTACCACCTCACATGAGGTCATCGCCTTAGCCCTAGCAGGATGAAAAGAAAACCCAAATCATATTGGACTAGTTTATATATTTTGCAAAATGTTATTAAAATAGCAGTAGAATAAAAGAAACTGTAGCAGGAATCTTAAAGAGTCTTATTAATAAAATCAAACCCGGAGCTAGGTATTGGGGTGAACACTGGAAGCTCAGAGAGAGAACAAGCCACAGCTAACCTCACCTGGCCAACTTCTCAGCTGATCCTGTTTCCTCAGACTGGAAGCTTCTGAGTCCTCATCCAAATGGATCTCAGCTGAACTGTGCTGCTCAAAGCCTAAAAGCTTAACCAGCTCTAGTTGTTGGTCCTCATGCCTTATATACCTTTCTGCTTTCTGCCATCACTTCCTGGGATTAAAGGCTCACTTCCTGGGATTAAAGGCGTGAGTCACCATGCCTGGCTGTTTCCAGTGTGGCTTTAAACTCACAGAGATCCAGATGGATCTCAGCCTCCCAAGTGATAGGATTAAAGGTGTGTGTGCCACCATTTTCTGGTCTCTCTATCTAGTGGCTGTTCTGTTCTCTGACACCAGATAAGTTTATTAGGGTGCACAAAATTTTGGGGAACACAATATCACCACAAGAAACCTTTTAAATTCCTGAGTCACCAAAATTTTTACATTTTTTAACCTAGTCCTCTAGTGTCACATTGCTCATGCTTCTCCCTCTGTACAAACATGCCAACTTTGTACTCTTTCCTTAGAGTGTTAGGAGACAAATATGGACTGCAGAGCCTTGCACAGTCATGACACGTCCAAAGAGTACCATCATCACTCATGACAGATTAATATGGAATGGACAAAAATAACATAGGAAATTACAACATAAATACAAGAATGGGAGGACTTGGAGAAATCACAACCTCTTTAGATTTCACATTCCTCATTTGTTTCAATCCAGAAGTCCCTTTTAACGTCCAGACACATAACAAAGGAAAAACAAAACAAAATAATCTCTTGATACATGTCACCAGCTTCATATAGATTTTGTCACTGACACCTCATTCAATCCCCTAAACAATTGGCTGGAATATTCTAAAGCAAATAACATGCTGAACCTTATATCATCTCACCCATTAAATATCACTAAAGAGTCTGGTTCAGTGGTTAAGAGCACTTATTGCTTTGCTGGGGGATCTGGGTTTTGTTTTGTTTTTGTTTTTTCAAGACAGGGTTTCTCTGTGTAGTTTTGGTGCCTGTCCTGGATCTTGCTCTGTAGCCCAGGCTGGCCTTGAACTCACAGAGATCTGCCTGGCTCTGCCTCTCGAGTGCTGGGATTAAAGGCGTGTGCCGCCACTGCCGGGTGGGATCTGGGTTTTGTTATAGCACCTACCTGGTGGCTCACAAATCCTGGAACTCCAATTCCAAAGGATCTGAACCCCTTTCCTGCTTCCATATGTTCCTGTGTGCATGTGGTGAGACATAGTCGTGCGGGAGCGCCCCCCCCACACGTTCAAATTAATAAATAAATCCTCAAATATCACTAACAGTCTATATTCCAATTATTCTATTTTTCTCAAAAAATTTCAACTGATTTGAACAAATCGAGACCTAAGAAGATCCAAATGTTACACTTGGATGAAATGTTTCCAGATTTCTTTTAATCTATAACAGCATCCTACTTCTTTATATTACATGTATCTGAACAAAATTAGCTTATTTGCCCTATAGATTTCACCATTTTCTGTATCTGACTGGTTTATTCCCAGAGGTATTTTGATGGCAGGAAATCTGTTTCCTAGAGATACTGTGAATCTAGAAGTTTGACAAAGTCTTACTCTCTCCTTCTCTCTCTTCTTTTAAAATAATATTTTTTTTATTGATTGAGAATTTCATACAATAATTCTGATCATATTCACCCCTAAACTCTTCCAGAACTGTCCCCACTTCCCTACTCACTTTGTTTCCTTATTTTACTTATAAACCCACCGAGCTCAGTTAGTGATACCTATGTACTTTTGGGTGAGGTCATCCCACAGGAGTGTAGGCCAATTGCCAGTGGTTATACCCTTAAAAAGTGGATCTCCTTCTTTCAGCAGTAATCAATTGCCAGTAACTCTTCAGCTAGGATGGGACTTCCTGACCGTTCTACCCTTTGTTCTTGTTCTGTTTTTGTGAATGCTGCCACAATCACTGTGAGTTCCTATGTGAAACTGCCTTGTTGTGTCCAGGGAATGCTGTTTCCTTATAGTCAGCCACCACCTCTAGCTCTTACACCTTTCTGCCCACTCTTCACATAGACCCCTTGACCTTGGGAGGAGATGGTGTAATATAGATGCCACTTTAAGGCTGAGTAACCCATAGTCTCTTATTCTCGACACAATGACCAGTTGTGGGTCTCTGTGTGAATCACCATCTCCTAAAGAAAGAAGCTTCCCTGATGATGCTTAAGTGATGCACTCATCTATGCATATAGTAAAAAGTCATTATAAATTGATTTGATATTATGTCCATTTAGCAAAATAATACTAGTAGGTTCTCCCCAAGGGCCTATAACCTACCTAATCACAAATTGTTTGTCCTCCAACTGGTTCCAGGTATTTGTCCCATTATGTAAGGTGCTTTAAATCCAAGCAGGAAGTTATTGGTTTTACCCACAACATCTGTTTCATGATAGCCCCAGCAGTAATATCTTGCTAGGCTGATCATTACTATAGCTCTTAGGTTCACAACTCTGTAAGATTTGTGACTACTTTTCTCCTCTTGTAGCTTACACAGACCCTTCCAACACTATGAAATCTAGCCAGTAGGTATCAAGTTTCCAAATCAATCCAGCTTTATCTCTTCATGTTCCATGACTATGTATGTGGTGGTTTCAGGGTCTTATGACCAAGTTCTGGAAGGTAACTAGAGGTATTGGCAATAGCTTGTAATATTTATGGGTCTGTAGGATCTCAATGGCCAACAACTCCAACAACAGTTAATTTGTTAATCTGGGGTCTAGTAGGGGCATTATTGTTCAGTTATAGAGTAACCTCATTTAAATTTGTTAATATATATAAAACATACATATATATTGAAACATACTATGATAGAAGGTTCCATAAATACATACATATATTTTCCATATAGATTTTTTCCAAAGCTCTTTAGTGTTAGTTGTCCCTCCTAGAATTCTATCCTTTATCCTGCCCTGCTATCCTCCAACTCATGTAATTATTCCCCTTCAATTTTTCTCCTTTATATGATAGAATTCTATCTATCTCCTTTATTGAGAGCATTCCCATTCCCATTTACTAGTTTCCTGACTTCTATTTATACTCCAATTTAAACAAATAATCTAAATATTCAAAATTAGCATCCACATATAAGAGAAAACATGGTATTTGTTTTCTGAGTCTAGGTTATCTTACTCAGGATGATTGTTTCCATCTCCATACATTTACTTGAAATTTTCTTAACTTAATTTTTCTTAAGGACTAGATAAAAATTCATGGTATAAATGTACGACATTTTAAAATATCCATTCATCAGTTGATGGACATTTAAGCTGTTTCCATTTTCTGGCTACTGTGAGTAGAATAGCAATAAAAATGGATGAGCAACTGTCTTTAGTAGGATAGAGTCCTTTGGTTGTATGTCCAAGAGTAGTATAGCTGGATCATAAGTTTCTCTTATATGTAAAACCACCATTCCTGTTTTCTCATCAAAGCAGTTATCTAATATCTTGATTTCAATAATCTCAAGAATCAATGTGGTTAGCCTTAGTACTGTGCTATAAGGCAGAAAGCACTTGATAGGTAAAAATATAAACCATACATGCCCTTTGTATTTCATAGAGGTCTTTGTGAATAAAATGGTATAATAGTCTTATGAACATTTAGTTCCAAAGAGTCTAGCAGTAGACCAATTCTGAATTTTCTTCTCTAGAGTCAGATTTGAATGACAGGCATACCTTTTGTATAAATTTTTGTGGGTGTTTTGTTTGTTTGTTTTGTTTTCCTGTTGATTTTATAATATCATATTTGGGGACTTGTCTTTTAGTTGCAGTGTTGTGGTGTAAACAGCTCAAGTGATTGGACCAATGGTCCACCATCTTCCTGCCCACCAGATGCAGATGTTCAGGTAATTTTGTTGGTAATGTTCCTGTTATTTGATTCTGACTAAATGTTCTCCACATTATGCTTGCCTCTTTAAACATTCAAGAAAGTAAAAATGTAACATCTGATATCAGTCTCTGTATTAAATAAATACAAGTTACCATCCCAGATAACCTCCCTGATAAGGTTGACATGTTGAATGATATCATTTATGCCTGTAATTTTTCCCCTAGGGTTGCTATAATAAAGCAAAATCGTGGTTTCACTCCAATTTCTTGTATATTGGAATCATTACCATCTGTGTATGTGTGATACAGGTAAGATATTAACCCCAGAACGCCTGTAAGGATTAAAGGAGTTAAGACATGCAGTCTTAGAACAGTGCTGGGGAAGTAGAATGAGGCAGTAAATGTCATGACTTCCTCTAGCCAAGGAACAGATGATTATATTATCAATTCAACTTAAAACATGTAGAAAATTTGTTATAAGAAAACATACCAAATATATGTATCCCTGATATATATGAATGAGTCAAAGTCAAATTAAGAGTGCTGAGCAGAATTTCACATTAGTCGCTCACTTAGCTGGTCTGGAAAAGATTATGATAAAATAGCTCACTTGAAATATTGACCTTTTAGTTAAGAAAGAAATTATAATTATAATTATTTTCCCTTTGTGCTTGTACTTGGTTTGACAAGTGAAAGGGAAAATTTGTGCTGTTTGTTGTGTGATATTCATAACACTATTTTCTACCCAAGTATTGGGCATATTATACATTATTTTAGACTTAGTCAAGAACAAAGAGTTAACCATTTCTCTGCTTAGAAGCAAATGAAGACCTCACATTTTCTCAATTCTTTTCTCAGGTGCTGGGGATGGCCTTTGCACTGACACTGAACTGCCAGATTGACAAAACCAGTCAGGCCTTAGGACTGTGACTTGCAACTGCCCTGAGCTTAAAAGACTTATTTCTCTCTGGAAATCCAAAACACCTATAGTATGAGACCCCAAACAATCGCCTGCCTGCCTGGCATTTTGGTTTTCTCTTATCTCTTCCTTGATTGGGTCCCTGTCTTATACATCCAAGGAAGAGAATATTTGCCATGAACTCTCCATCTCAAGGAGAAGACAATCATTCACCAACTGATGGCAGTAGCCATATCCCTTAAAGATGGTGAAACATACCTGGGTGAATTTTTTGGACATCAGAGGCCAAGAGAATCTGTAGCCCTGCTGTCTTGAGATCCAATGATAGCTGCAGGTGTGGATATAGCTCAGAGTATTGTGTGAACCCCTGAATTTAGCATATGTGAGCCCCTGAATTTAGCCCTGAGTTCTACAAAAAATAGGTCCAAGTTTAAATGTTAGACTCTTAACAATTGTCAAATCAGTCTCTAACTTCTAAATCATGATACTTTCACTCTACATAAGAGACAAGCTAAAGGGAATTTTGGAGTCAGATTCACTGGACAAGTGATATACCCTGTTTCCTTTTGAACATAGTAATAGGAATGTTACATGGATCTTTCTTCAAAGGGAAATACTACAATTTCTTTGTTAAAATATCTTACTGATTTCTGTTCCTTCCATCCATCCATCCATCGATCCGTCTATCCATCCATCCAGAAGACTATCTAATGATTCTTATCCTTCTTCAGTCAGTCTTAAAGCCTTTGAATTATATAGTCATAGACCAATCCAGAAGTACTAATATCTCCACTGTGTTAGCTGATAATCGAATTCATGTTTATGTTGTTATTTCTATACCAAATAAGGTTCTGTTTAGGTACTATTTTAACAATTTAATAAACAAAATAGTTTATGATCACTATTCATCAAACATTTGACTCAGTCTGATATTTCTGCTAGCAAGTCAAATGTATTACTATTTTTGTGTAACAAGTTAGTCCAAAATATAGTGGTAAAGAACCTATACACATTTGTTTTGTTTATTGACTGATTTAAAGACAAGGTTTTGCTATGCAGCCCAGGCTGTCTTGGAACGTGCTACGTAGCCCAAATTGGCACCAAACTCATGATCATTCTGCTTCTACCTTCTGAATATTAGAATTACAGATAGGTACCACTGTACTTACTCAGGAAAACATTTATTATCTGATGGATTTAGGTAATCAAGAATGTGGAAGCAGCTGCGACAAATGATATTAGGTTGTTGCTGTTTTGCACAATCATGACTAAGTGGTCAGCCATGTCTTCAGTCATCTATAGTCTCCGCGGGAAAGGAATCCACTGCATGTTCTCACAATAGGCCTTATAGTATGGCCCCACATACTTTTACATAAGTAGTTTTCTGCACAATGAAACAGCTAAGACATAGAATGAGATATAACAACCAAAATAGAAGCCACAGTCCTTTTATAACCTAACCTAAAAGTGCTGCCATCAGTCATTCTTAGAAATGGTTCAAAAGTTCGATTCCCACTTGAGATTACACAAGGGTATGACTACTAGGAAGTTGAGATCATTGCTTGATTGCTAACCATTTTCTCATGTTTGTTGTGTCAAGAAGACAATATACTTGTCTATATGATAACTATAGTCTATAAAGTAGAAAATTAGAAAATATATAATATAATGCCTAATGTACAGAACTCAGAGGAAAGAAAAGAAAGTAATTGGTTTCTGTTCTATAAATTTTCTATAGGATCTTCTACCTCCCCTTAAGGAAAACTGGTTACTTTAGTGGGCTTCTGTAGGGAAAATATCTATTGGCATTTTATGAGACATATAAAGAAGAGAAGAGACACTTCTTTGTTCAGACTAACACATAGTGGTGACATCACCTGGTAAATTTTCCTACCTAGTACCTGAGTTTTTTTTCTTAGCTCTATTTTGATCTTCACTCCCAGCTGTTGTGAAATTCTAAGAATTCACCTATGAGGTGTTACAAATTCATCTATCTCCTCATCTAAGTTCTTGCCACACTCTTTCAATAGTATGTCGTCTGCAGTCTTAGTAGCCAGCAATGGACCCATCTGAACTATTTCCCACACAGAACCTCAAATTATATGTGTAAAGCATAAATGCAATCATATATATTTTTTAATAAATGAAACTCTTCATTGACTGCTGTTTTGAAAATAAAATTCAGATACTTAATCTGCCACACCCTACAGGAAATGTCCTTTCTTAACCTCTTAAACCTTATCTCCTGACATTTTCACTCTTGTATTTTGTGATTTTGTTACAGTGGTGTTTAATAAGTTGTATTAGACTTTTTCTATATCTGTTAAATTTTCTAACAGTTCCCTTTGTTTGGCTAATCTTTCCTTCCTGTAAACATTTCCCTAATCACTCAAGGCTTAGAATTACTAAGTCTTTCCAAATATGAGCTACCATCCTAATCTCTCATTTGAGGGAGAGCTGAACTTTGTTTTTGCTGCCAGGAACTGAATCCAGGGTCTCCTGCATGCTCACTCAATGTTCTGACACTGTGCTACTGTCTCAGCCTTTGGAGCTGAATTTTTGGGTCACTTTTCTTTTTCTTTTCTTTTCTTTTTTCCTTCCTTCCTTCTTTCCTTCCTTCCTTCCTCCCTTCCTTCCTTCCTCCTCCGTTCCCCCTCCCCTCCCTTCCCTCCTACCTTTCTTCCTTCCTTTCTTTTTTGTTTTTGTTTGTTTGTTTTTTGAGACAGGGTTACTCTGCATAGCCCTGGTTGTTCTGGAACTAACTCTGCAGACCAAGCTGGCCCTGAACTCACATAGATCCACCTGCCTCTCCCTCCTGATTGCTGGGATTAAAAGTGTGTGCTTTGAATCACTTTAAAGGAGCAGGACACAGAAGAATACTGATGTATTTCCATTTAAATTTTGACACAATGTCTCTTTTATGTGCTTATGTTACATACTCATAAAAAGTTCACAGCTATTATCACAACCGTAAGTCTTATATTGCTAAATCTTAATCACCTTTTCTTGAGATACATTCTTACTGTGTAGCCTAGACTGGCCTTGAATTTAGTTCGTAGTGCAGGCTGGCCTTAAACTCAGTATGTAGTTCAGGATGGCCTGAATTACAATTCAGCAGTGATTCACCTGCTTCAGCCTCTCAAGTGCTGGAATTATAGTTATGTGCCATCATTACTGACACATTATCACATTATAATTATTTATTTTTGTCTATATTAATCACTATCTTGATCAAATTAGAAAAGGAGGTGAAAATATAAATTAACTATAAATAGAAATAAGACCATGTTCAATGAACTATCAGGAATTGTCCAGAGGGAAAAAATTAGCCCTCATAAAAGAGGGAAAGTAGTTTTTGTTGCCCGATTAAGACTTGGACTGAGAAAGAAGAACAAAGTGAAAGTAAAGAGGAAAAGGTTAAGGAGAGGAGGTTTAGGAGGTGACATGTTTGACTAAAATTTATTACAAGTTTTCATAGACTCTTTCAAGGAATATTAGGAGGGAACACACTTTTAACCAATTATGAGGCAAATACAGCTTTGATATTGACACTGAACAAAGAAAAAATTAGAAGCCAATTTCATTTATAAGCATAGACACAAGAATCTTTAAAAAAAGAAAATAGTAAAAAATGTAGTAGTAAGTAAAGCGACTAAAATGAATTTACCTAGGAATGTATATCAGTATTAAAATCAATAAATTAAATATATTAAACAATAAAAGTGACTAGGCATCATGGAACAGTACATAATCCCATCACTCAGGAGGCAGAGACCATGAGCTCCAGGCTAGCCCGGGTTATATAACAAGATTCTGTCTGAAAAACCAAAACAAAACACAGGGAAAAAGAATTAAAGAGAAAAATTATATATATATGATATCAAAAGTAAAAAAGGACACAAAATTAAAGTCTGCCAAAGAAATATAAGACAATCACAAGGGAGATAATCAAAATTTTATCAAAATTACATATATATATATAGTTTACATTTGTCTCCCAGGCTCATACAGTGCCAAAGTTCTCTTTTCTCTGCCATTTGATAGTGAGCCTTCTGTGGCGTGTTCAGACACTAGTGTGGACCAATGATAGGCAAATGTTCAGAGTACAATGTGGGTGTGAAATATCAGACTCCCCCTCAACAGTACCCTGAGTTCTGGGATTTTTGTATTGTACAATGATAGCTGTCCTATCTGGTCTTTGAAATCACCTTGCAGCAACTGTTGGTAGAACTGTAATCTGATACAAGCTTTTCTATCATCAAGAAGCCACCAAATGACCTTCAAAATGTGGTAATATGTGACATAATTTAAGTGCCAAAGCAAATTATGATTTATTGATGACTTTCTCTGTGAAATCAGGAGCAAGATCATCAGACTCAGTAGTAGAGTACTTGTCTGGAATGCATGAGGCCCTGGATACAATCTCAGTGGCACAAAAAGAAAATAGGCCATTACCATACACCTGAATGGGCAAAAAGGGGAGACAAAGATGAGACATAAAGAACGGAGCAGATGCAAATAACTATTTTGATTTACCAACAGCATAACTACAAGGATGGGAAATCCAAAATCATTACAAGTGAAATATGAAAAGTAATGAAGTTTAGCAATGGTGTTTGGTATAAAACCAACACAGTAAACAACAACAACAACAACAACAACAACAACAAAACCAACTGTGTTTCTATATGCCATTACAGAAAAGAAAGAGAATTTATTTTAATGGTATCAAAAGTAAAAAAGGACACAAAATTAAAGTCTGCCAAAGAAATATAAGGCAATCACAAGGGAAATAATCAAATTTTATCAAAATGTTAAATAAGAGACATCTATCTTAAATATATACAATCATAGGACCTCTATTCCCATTACTAATTGGAAAACTCAGTATTTTCTATGTATCTCTTCTTCACGATTTAGGTCATAGATTAAATACAATTCTAGTTAAAAACTTCAACAAAATTTTTTGGTGAAATCTAAATAGATAATTCTAAAATGTATGTGAAAATGCATCGGGCCCAAACCACTGAGATGTTCTTCAAGAAAAGTCACAATTTGGAGTTTGTTTTAAAATATTAATCCCCATTACACACTTACAATTATAATATTTGAAGTACATATGACTGAAAAGTTGTTCTGTTTGGGTTATTAAAACACAGATGACATTGGTTAGCATACTGAGAAAGAGGCCTGCACCGAAAGATGCAGAAGCGTCTGCATATAACAACTCCATCCAAACAATGGTGTCAAAGACTTCACAAATTTCTATTCTGACTTTTAAGGCTGGTAGTCCTGAAAGGACCCTATTCCTGTAAAATGCCATCCCAAGAAAGCTCAACACTGACTTGAGAAGTTCCTAGCCAAGTCTTCATGATAGATGACTATTCCCCTGAACTATATCTTAGAGCATTAACTTCAGAAATTTTGTAATTATAAATCCATTCTCTGTTGTTTGAGATGTCAGTCTTCTAGCAATTTACCTCAGAGAAAACTGTTACATAACAGACATCTTTATCAACATCTATGCCCTGCTAAGGATCAGAGAACATCACTGAAGAGGAGGTGGAAAGAATGCAATATCTGGAGTATTGTGAGGAGTGCTGTGAAATTTTATCTTTGATATATAACTCACTATTCACAGTAGCTCTGACTGCACAAGATCAAGCCAGCTAATATCCCAGCATGGACGGAACAAGCAATCACAAGTTTCCATTTCCAACTGAGAAGCTGTTGGCAGTTGATATCTGCTGCAGGAGAGAGATTTTTTGGGTATGCACCCATATATAGGGGGTACTTGTTTAACTTAGCAGGTTATTAAGAGAAAAAATAAGATGCTAAAATATTTTGAAACAGTTCAGCATCTGTTCACCATAAAATATCTTCAGAAGATAGAAATAGAATATACATCAGTAGAATAAATATCACATACAATAGAATTATTGCCATAATTAAAATGAATGTTAAAAATTAAAGAATTTCCCTTAAAGTCAGGAATGAAGTAGGACTGTCCACTACCACCACTCTAATTCAACATTCTGCTTGGACTCTTAGTCATAACAATAAAACAAAAGAATAAAAAAAGGAATGTAAATGAGAAAGGAGGAAATTATAGCTCTTTATCCATAATTGATAGTATCCTGCACTTAAAAGACAAAAGTACTTCATTAGTAAGTTCTTGTATATGACAAATACTGTTAGCAAGGCAACAGGATACAAAATCAATATACAAAAGTCAATAGCTTTTCCATACACCAATAACACATTTGATAAGGAAAAACAGAAAAATAATTTCATTCACAATATCCACGCCTACAAAAAAACCTCCAAGAAACAACTGAGAATGCAGTAGATATACATAATGGACTTTTAAAACATGAAAGAAAAAAATCTGAAGAAGACATGTGGAGGCAGAAAGATATTCCATGTTCATGGATTGGCAGAATTAATATTGCAAAAGTAGCCATATCACCAACAGCCATGTGCAGATTCAAAAAATCAAAACTACATTGAGATTCCATTTCATTCCAGTCATGATAGCTACCATCAAGAAAACACAAAACAACAAATGTTGTTAAGAAAACAGGGGAAAAAAGAACTTTTATATACAGTTTGTGGGAATGAAATTTAATATGCCCTGATGTGGCTATGTATTTAGTCTCAGGACAAAGTTTATTCTTTAAGATACCTGCCTAACCACAATGGATCAGTAATAACTGATGTGGGTTCCATTTTGTACTTGTCTTCTCTTTATTTACACCCATCTTTGCTTCCTAAGTTCCTGACCTGTGGAGTTCAAGGCCTAATAATAGATTTTAAAAGATTATATTTTTAGAGAATGTTCATTCAGATTCCAAAATTATATAAAACTCAAATCTTGATGATAGAAAGGGTATGCATAATCCAAGTGAACACAGAATTCTAAAATCTTGGTTTTAACTAAGACTATAAGATAACCCACAACATATTCTTTGTCTAATTAAAGCTAATTGACTTAAAATGATCGTTGAAAGCAGATGGATGTAGGGGTTTAGATGCTTGAGATATGTCAATGTGTATTGCAGAAATCTCTGCTCTCAAGGAGCTCATGTTTTTGTGGAAAGAGACCAACATTAAAAATAAAGTGTTCTGGATATTTCATGTGGCCAGATGTATAATTTGCAATGTTTTTTAACACTGGAAAAAGATTAATGGAGAATATATAAGGAAC